AATTTTTGATACACATTACCAAATTGAAATTGTCAAATGACAAATTGAGTGCTAATTTCATTGCCAAACTAGATAGAGATGAAGATAGTGGTAGTGATAGACAATAAAAATTAAGGATAGGAAGTGCAATAGGGACTAAATATAGGTTGTACTATCATGGTTGCCATGAAAAAAGTGTTCCTAGAGTATATTTATAACTACATTATGTTTCTTTTTTTGTTTCTATTTATAACTACATTATGTTTCTATTTTTGATATTATTCCCGTAGAGAGAATTTGAGTGATTTTGAACTCTGTGCCAATGGAGTATATTAGATATTGATATTAGTAGTGATGACTTAGATTATTTTGTATTAAAAAGGTGGCAACCATGGAATTGAAATTTAGGAATATTGATGAATAGTGTTGTGTATTAAGTAAATTTTGATATTGATATGAGATTGTAGGTAAGTTTTTGGGTATCTAATGTAGCGTTTATAGTTGATACAATGGTCTACATCAGAAATTTTTAGGTAAAAGAAGAACATTAGACAAAAATAAGTATTTATTTAATGGTGATTTAGATGTTGATGGGGTAGCTAATAGTGATAGCAAGTAAAAATAAAATGAAATAGAGAATGCGAATCATTTTTTTTCCTTTCCATTTTTTGTTGTGAATTATAACTCAAGGGTATTATAGAAATTTTGAGAAAAAGTATAGCCTTTTGGGCCTAGAATGTTACTTAAATAGTGAAAATAAGGGAGGGAGGTGTAATTTTTAGAACTTGAGGGGAGCGTTTTGCAATTGTTAAAAACCTCAGGGAGGTATGTGAAATTAACCCTTATATATTGTATAGATGATGAATAATAATAATAAACAATATGAGAGGAGAAATTAACCTAAATCACAACTAGATGCTCTTTGATTACATAAATAGCCTATCCCATGTCAAAAGTTCACATAGAGAACCTTAGAAAAAGGGAAGTAAGAGAAATATAAACCAAGCAAAAAATGCTACCACTATATTTTACAGATCCATGATTGAAGAGAGCCGGAGACCCTAGTGTTAAACCAAAAAACCTACTGATTAACTAACTACCTACAGAGTAAAGTGCTACACAAAAAATATTAGTGATCATGGAACAGGATATGACTTGTTGTGGCACATGCACTTATAAGCCATGGGACATGTCTCAGCCTCCTCAAGTGAAGCACAAACAAAGCTAACCATAACCAATCTACAGGGGTTACAGGATCCACAAGCATGTGAACAATCAGGTAAACTTGATCCAGCAATTTGCAGGGTGTCAGCTCTCTTGTGCATCATTGGCCTTCTATCCCAGTACTTTTGTGTTGTCACAAATCCTACAGCTTTTCTGCTAGCCACTGTTGCATGGTGGTGCCCATGACCTGTAATTGAGACACAAAACTCAGCACCATTAGCAGAATACCACCATAAAACTGCTACTACCAATCATTAATTGTATGAAGAACTAAGGTATTGAAAATTAGCTGACAAAATTTGTCCCTAAACTAAATTGGCTCTAGCATGCTCCTGCACTCGCGCTTACACACATACAGATTTGTATAAATTTATAAAAATAAATAATCGACAAAACTTACGTGAACGTAGCTTTCCAATATGCCTAGCATGGAGGGAAAAAGGAAACAAGAGGAAGATAAGAAGCATTGCAGCCATGCAGCTGGCTGAAGAACCATTCATTTTTTTCTTTCTTTTTTGTTTTTAGACTCTTATTAAATTGATTGTGCTTGGTTTTCTTGGTACTTGATGAGGAAAGTTATGGAACTTGGTTGGAAGAAAAGAGGAGGAGTGCCGGAAGATTTAAAGGGGGTAGAAGAAGAAAGGTGGTATTGAAGCAAGTCACAGGCAAAAGTGCGGGCTTAAGGAGAGAAATGCAAAAACTCACATGAAGAGAACGGGGTGCACAAGAAAGGGAGAGGATTGCACTATATACAGAGGGCTTGAAGCCTGTGAACTAAATTTGCATTTTGCTAATTCACACTTTTGGGCAGTGATGCTAATAATGAACAAGAATTTCTACTCATGCTATTACGTGAGAATTTTTAATGCATATGTGTCTAGTGAATTTTCACGAACTCAAAATCTGAGAGTCTCAAGTAAATGTTGAAAAGTTAAATTTTTACCTGTATAGGGTCTAATTATGTGACTGCCATTACTGTTACACTGTCTACTGTGTTACGTCTCATGAACGTGGGACCTTTTCATTATATTTAGTAGTGTTTCGTTCCCAAAAAAAAAAAAAGAAGCTCAGAAAGCTCTTTCATGGCATGTGAAATATTTATTATGGAAATTTTGCAATTAATAGACTCATTAATTCATCTAGGGGAACTTGAACTTGAAGCAGGAATGCAAGATCTTCTTCTTGTTGGTGTATTTATGTCCTTTTGTCTGGCGGGCTTTCTTCTGGTTTTAAATTTTCTTGTGCCTTTATGTTCTGGACAAGAAAGTGAAAACTCAGTGGAAAACTGAGTGGTAGCAGTAATGTTGCACTGTGGTCTGTGGATCTGGGACAATATTTTTGAGCAATTAAGTCATACCCTTTGTTTCTTTGTCACCATGCCCCAATCTCCATATCCTTCGCTTCTCCATAGAAGGGCAAAGGAGTATGAAATGAAAGCAAAGAAATAAGAAGAAAACATCAAAGGCCAAGCTTCAAGGCTTATTTTCAATGCCCATTGCGAACACAAATCCGCTCAGTTTATAAGAACATGTTACTTCCTTACAAAAGGTCATGTGTTCGAATCTCACTGTCGATGTGAGAACTATATCAGTAAACTATCTATAAAAATCCTTATAAGCGACTTATGGTCTCGAGAACATGCTCTGACCCGTAGTGGTGGCCAGACCTGAACCTACCTAAACTTTTTCTGACCCAAAAAAAAAAAAGAAATCTTGAATGCTCATTGATACAATTGAAAGACAATTGTTGTAAACTACATTATTTATTTATTTATTGTTGAGTTATGGCTGAATGTTTTCATGAGCAATTGTGTTTGTGGCTTTAGACTTGTTGGACTTTTATTTTAGGGAAGGGCTTGGAAGAATATTAATTCATCGCTTTGACGCATATATCAGGGCCCAATGTCTGTTCTTTATTGACATCAAGTTTATAAGATATGGGCTTTTGAGTTTTGCCTTCTGGACAAGAAACAGGCCCTAGTTGTTAACAAAAAGAATCCAATGGGCGTTAGTTTAAACTGAAGCCCTCCAGGCTGACTTCGGTGGGCCTATTGTGGTTAGTCCAGATTAATTTTTTTTTTTGAGGGTAGTCTAGATTAACTTAATTTCGATAACATCTTTTATTTGTTTTAATCTTCTTTTCTAATCGCTTTAATTTGTTTTTCATGTTTGATGTTCTTTTAGATTATTATAACTGGAAGGGATTATTGAAGACAAGAAAATCTGTTTGATGATATTAAGTGTTAATTTTTTTTAAAAAAAAATTAGATGTCTTAACGAGTGATATGGAGAACTCTGTCAAAAGCGTGTGAGCAATATTAGATGAAGAATTCCATCGACATTGATTTATACTCATTTTGATACAACATGAGTAAATTTTTTTTTAACAAATTCAATGAAATAAAAATCCTACGTATCCTCCTTTTTGGTAACTTACTAAAAGGATGTTCTGTCTTAAGTCTAGGAAGCAGCATCACATCACATGGAGATAACTTAATGCCTATTTGGAACTTGATATTCAGTGATAAAAAAAAATAAAGGAAATTTCAAATATGATTCCATTTTGTTCTTTTAAATAAAACAAGAACCAAAAAAGGATCATAGAAAAATGAAAATAGATAACAACAATCTTTTGCACTAATTAAGCTTCAATGCTCCTGAGTTTCAACCACAATTAAAGTATCATTCTTAGGCTGTGTAAATATAACAATCGGTTTGGCTAGCGGATGCCTAAATGGAGGGCGCTCGTTTTGAGGGTTTCAAGTGTTTTGAAAAAGTAATGCTAGTTTGGAAAGAGCTTATTTAAATACATTAAGTACAACAATTATGATTGGACAAGATAGAAAAATCTTATAACTATCATAGGAAACCTAGTGGTCTAAATCCTTTGTCTCCACAAAATTCAGATCCACACATCAAGACCTTATCTAAGCAAAGAGGATAAGCATTTCCAGGAAATTGTTCCTTCCAAGGAAATGAATCTGCCAAACATCACATATGTCAAGAGATTGCTTCAATTGACATTGACTACAGCTTCTAGACAAAAGAAACAGGTTTAATATTAATGCTAGTCAAAGGTCAAATTTTGGCCATCTTTGAATATCTTCGTATTCATTTAGTCACGTTTGCCTCTTATGCTGGCACTTACGTATTTGTCCATTTCTTAGCGAGGTTGGTATATTATACATGATTAACTTACCAAAAACTGCCTTCCCATTATGCAAACCGCATATGGTTGAATAATTGACCTTCCTATTCACACATTCTCACATAATTCCATGGCTAAAATTTAATTTGGCCGCCATGAATGGAAACAAATACTACCATGGTCAAAATTTTGCATTTTATACACATTTAAGTTTTAGCCTGATTTCATTGATTAATACGCAAAGCTGCATGTCTATTCTTCATATGTAAGCTAGTAGAGTTTCATTTGTACATGACTAGATGTTATAATTCTGTACATAGCTAGCAAGCCAAGCCAAGCCAAGCAAGGCCAGCCTGCCATGGATACAGCACTGGTGAGGAGCACCACTTTGCGGTTGAGCCACCGTCGCCGCGCCCACGGCTACGAGCCCTTGAATCAAGCTAGTGATCATGCTTGGAGAAGAAAGGATGGTGATCATGGTAGCCAGAGAACATTTTCTAGGCCAAGGAGGAGTGACAAGGAGCAGTATAGCCCTTATAGCATGGCGGATTCTTTTGGCCAGAGAGCATTTCCTATGCCAAGGAGTCAAAAGCAGCAGCACAGGCAGAGTCCTGTGATGATGAACTATTCTTTTAGTTATAGACGTAAAAGGGCTAGGCAAAGGCAGATTTTTCTCCGAACATACAAGTTGGGATCCATGGATTCTTCACGCGAATCTGGGGTGCGGAAGCTGAAGAAGTTTGTAGTCAAGGTGAAAACGGTTGTAGTTTCGGTATTGTCGTTCATGCGAGCTGATACTCTGAAATCTTGCAATTCTGGATCGGCCATTTGTGCATCCTCTCCTTCAAGAATTGCAAGGTTATGTTGAAGTTTCATTAATCAACTATTTATTTGGGTGAAAAGACAGAGATGTCCAATTCTCTTTTCCTGTTCATTTTCAAAATTTGCAAGTCAGTTTAGAAGTCCTTTTCCTTTTTTTTTTTGGTTGCTTTTCTTTGTATTTTTAAGGTTTTTAGGACATAAGGCCTCAATATGCTTTGGTCTAGTAATGTAGTTCTATTTCCTGTTGGATGGCATGTTGAATCATATTTGGGAAATTGCTTTTGAATCTCCAATTTGGTAGGTTAAGATAAGGAGTAGTAGTCAGAAGAAAAGGTTTAAAAAAAAAATGTTATGGGCTGTAGACCGAATGTTTGTCTTTGACAAGAATATATATCAGGAAGAATAAATTCAAAAGAAACCCTGTAATTGATCAGTATTCCCATCTCCTGTTGCATGGATTTAGAGAAGACCTTGTGATGAAAATGCTAAAAAAAAAAATAATGGCTGGATAAGCAAAATCATCATTTCTTGCAGATTTGGTCAAGATCATCTGAGGAATTTATGAATGAGTAAAGTTTAACTAATAAGAGGCAGCGCAAGAAATGCCAAATGTTGTTGATCAATCTCTCTAAAAATAGCCAAACTAATGTAACATAGTGCATTGATCTCGGGTTATCCGTCTTCATGTCTTCTTTTGGACATTAAGGGGTCTAGACAAAAGCATGAGAGGAAAAACAAGAGCCTTTCTTTCTCTCAGTGCTTTTGGTGGTTCTCCGAATTTGATGGATTTGGCTCCAAGAAGTCTACACTCTGCCTGGTTGATGCCATATCATCCTCCACAATGAATGCACCTCCACCACCGCCTGCCTATGTCATGTTGGACGGTCAGGGGATGAAAAAAGGCAACTACGGCCCGCCTCCTTCTGGTCGCCGAAATGTACCCCGGTATAACTCCGACTACTACCCAAAAAAATCAGGTGGAAGTAGTTGCCTGAGGTGCATTTGCTGTTGCTATTGCATTCTCTTCCTCCTGATCTTCGTCGTCTCCGTCCTGGCTTTCTATTTCTACACTGTTTACGAACCTAAGGTGCCTTCCTACAAAGTTCAAAGCCTGGATGTCAAATCCTTTGATCTCCTGCCTGATTTCAGCCTCAACACTGTGTTTTTGGTAACTGTGGAAGCCGACAACATGAACAAAGCCATTGGTTTCACATATGGTCAGGGAAGCTCAGTCCTTGTGGAATACACAGATTCTAGACTTTGCTCGGGATCACTGCCAAATTTTCATCAGGGCCCTCATAATACAACTTTGATCCAAATTGAGTTGAAAGGAAGGAGTGAATTTGGAACAGGTCTTCAACAGGCTCTTCAAGATAGCAAAGAAAAAGGAAGGATTCCATTGCTGGTGCGGATTCAAGTTCCTGTGAGTGTTGTTGTGGGGGAAATTTCCTCCAGGCAATTTCACGTTTTCGTTAATTGTACTTTGGTGGTGGATAATCTAGCTCCGGGCAAGAAAATTGCGATCTTATCAAGCAAATACAATTTTGACCTCACATTATGAGATCTAAGTAAAATGCTTGGTATCATATGGATGATCCTATGTAGTTCTAGAGGTCAAGCACCTTGTTTTCTTGTTTTAGGAAGAGGTTTCAATTCTAACTGCTCCACCCTTTTCTTGTTTCCTGTAACCCTTACCTTCTTAGAAATTCATGAAAACAAATATGTATGTATACATCTATGCTGGGGCAGCTAATCTTTCTTCTCAAGGAATGTTGGTGGTTGATTAAGAGTTAGTGATTCTTCTCAACAAGAATGTTGGTGGTTGATTAAGAGTTAGTGATTAAGGATCCTCCAGGGCCACTATTCTTGATTTTGTAAATTAAGTATTTACACGAGAGAACAAAAACAACTTCTTTGATTGCTACTTGTAACATGTCATCTCTCAAGAGTGTTATATATAAATATATATATATATATATATATTTATTTATTTATTTATAGAGAAAAAGTATGCTTTGATCTCCGTCAAAACTGTAGTTCATTTTTGACTTCCAGCTCAGGTTAATAACAGAAAAAAAATTGTTTGATATTCTTCTTTGTAATTTATGCATGATAAAATAAAGAAATGTTATTGATACTCGTTCATCAAATGGCAAAATTAACCAAATTTTTAAAAGAAGTCCAGTGGTGATTTTCATGAACAAATGCGGGTTTAATTTCTTCAAAAACACAATAATGATATGATGCTGATTATATAATGCATTGTGTTATCTTATCTATCTTGCAATTCAAAAGCGACCAATAGGGAACTTGACTTGAGCCAGTGTATTTGTTCTCATTTGCTTTGGATTTTACAAAAGCTGATTATTCAAAGCGTATATAGGGTATAATTAAGAGAAGCAAAAGCTACTCTTTGATGGATTTTAAATTTTAATTTTTTTTTTACCTATTACAGAATCTATATTCTAAAGACAAAAGCAAACCAAAGGGTCCGAGAGAAATGAGATCCTGATTGAAACCCTTTATGAATTGCTCATTAACTCCCCCAACCACCCCAAGAAATGGCAGCTTTGTCTGAGAGAAATGGCAGATTAGAGGCGTGATAATCTATTTTGTTTTACAGGAAATCCACGTGAATTAAAACATGAAAATTTCAAAGAGTGTCACAATTTTCCTCAGTGAGATGAAACTCTACATACATCGAAACAAGAATTACTGACGTAGAATTGAACATACAAGGGAGAGATTTTATCAGGGAAGTTTTTTTTTTTTTTTTTCCCTCCTCAAAAGCCTCTTTTCTAGTAGTACTTTTGTCACGTCCAAGGGCTTATAGACTAGAAGATTGTAGTATGGAGCCAATCACGTAGGTGTAGACAATTGTTAGACTAATGAATGCTGCCTTGATTTCTCTCTTGACGGCTGATCACAGAATTTTATGCGTTGAAAACAAGTGGCATAGCTTTTTACCCTTCAACTCCTGAATCGAAGGACGATGGAGTTAGCAGTTATAAATCTTGCAAGAAGCTGCAAAACATTCCATCTTTTTGCCTTCGCTGAAGGCCCTCCAATGGAGGGAGAGGGATTTCTGAGTTCTGATGCATCATGAACAAAATTTCTTCAATTTTCTCTTCCCTCCAATCTCCCTTATATATCCATCAGCATTTAACCAATTCAAGACCAAAGCAGGCATTAGTGATATAAGAACGCAATTTTTTTCTACAGGTTAATATTTCAAAAGGAACTGTTGGTGTTTTGTTTAAGGAGATTTACCGTGTTTTCGAGATTTGGAGGTTCTTGAGAATAGCAAGATAATTGCTTAAAGATCACCGCACCATCATTGAATTCAACATCAGGCTGAAATCAATTATCAGCCATGGCTCGTGGATTATATCCTGCCCCTTCTTCTCTTTTGAGACAAAGTTCTTGTAAACGACAGGTAAAGCACAACGATGATCATCTCAGGGTATATTTGCAGGGTAAAGTTTCAATTGACATTGCATCTGTCAAAGAACAAGTTTATGCCTGGTTTTGTGATCTTGTGTCTGCAATTGGCTCGTGTTCGAAACATTCCCGTTTAGCAACTAGTAGCAGAACGGAAAAGAATGTTTTAGTATATTTCACTAAAAGAACTGCCTAAAGAAAAGGATGATACTAGAAGAACAAACACACGGTCGATCTTGTTTATTGGCAAACTTAACAGATAAAATTTCCCTACATCAATTAACCCTGAAGTTGGATGTTTGAGTAACTTGTATGTTGCCATGTTCCTAATAGGCAAAAGTAAGCATGAACATGTCCAAAGTTAACAAGGAAGCAACAGGCCTGGAAGTAGCCAATTCTCGCGGAGGGATAGGAGGCTTGATGTTGATGTTTGAACTCAGGAAGAAGATAATAACCTTTAGAGACATTCTTCACCTCCCACCTTGTGCTAATGCTACTGCAATTGCTGAGGTACTATGTCTAAATGCAGCTAAATCAGTGAGGTTTACAATTTGGACTTTGACATAAATTTCTCACTTTTACTTCCCTTTCAGTTGGTCGTGCGAACTTTGGAGGATCTTAAGAAGTTGTATCCCAGTATCCTGCCGAATATCGAAGAAAGCAAAGAAGTTTCATTACAGCAGGTTTATTCAATATTAAGTACCTCAGTATAGATATAATACTTCTTGAAAATACATGAATTCACACGATGAAGGATGTTTGTCCAGGAGATGTCCAATCTTTACGAGGCTCTAAAATCAATAGGAGACGTCTGGGACAACAATCGTATGTTAGTTGCAGACTCTGTGCACAGTGCAGATGTTAGCTCAAATGCTACAAACTCGAAGCAACTTGGTAAGTTCTTTTTCTTTATTATTGAACTGTTTCCATGTTTCAGAGTTGATAAATGACTTTTTTAAAGGAAATTTACAGTTTCTGTGCATGCAAGGTGGACGAGTGATTGAAGAGCTTGACAATATGATTAAAACTGCAAGGCAGAATTTTGATGTCAAGCATGAAGATGAGAAAAGCAATAAAGACGTTTTAAGAGAAATGGCTGCAGATATCAAAAACACCTGTTCTTCTCCAGCATCACCCAATTCAGTCCCTCCTGGTCTGAAGAAACCCAGTGCAGTTGCTGATGCTTCTAACCCTCTCCCCACTTTACTTCAGACAGTGGAAAAATGCATCTCCACGGACATATGTCCTGTGGTGTCATTACAAGGCACTGTCCCTGTTAAAGAGGGGAGGAAGAAGGCGGATGAACAAACAGAGAACTTTAGCAAAGCGAAAAGCACCACTGAAGGATCACCAAGAATAGCAACGAATGAAGTCACAAGCAGTCCCAAGTCTGGAATCAATCCTAAGAGCAATTTGAGTGACATGCTTAACGCAAGAAGGCCAAAAGAAGCAAGCCGGTCTTTATCACTCCCATCCATTCCCACATCTCCAGTACCCCTTGCGGCTCCACGTCCACCTCCTCCTCCAACAGTTGGGGTTTCACGGCTAAATGGTACTGCTCCACCTCCACCTCCTCCTCCAGGATTGGGGGTTCGAAAATTCCCAAGCCTGAAGAGATCAAATTCAAAACTGAGGAGATCAAATCATATGGGAAACTTGTATCGAAATCTCAAAAGAAAACTGGAAGGATCAAATGTTACTGATGCAATATCCAATAAGATAAATCGTCGGGTTGGTGGTCTTACCAGCATAAAACAAGGAATGGCTGCAGCCCTTGCTGAAATGACAAAAAGGTACTTTACGGTGGAAATAACTATTCACCATGGACTGTGTTGCAATAGACAAGTAGATATGGCAAATGATGATGCTTCATGGTGCATGATCTCTTTGTTTGGATTTCAGATCAGCATATTTTCATCAGATTGAAGAAGATGTTCACAAGCACTCTGAAATGATCATGAAGCTGGGAGATGACATATGTTCCTTTAAGACAAAAGACATGGCTGAGCTTCAAAAGTTCCGTAGAGATGTAGAGAAACATCTAGAGGAATTGAGTGATGAGACTCAGGTGAGTTATCTCAGATTTTGAGCAGGTTCAGCAAATTCAAAGTTTAGAAGGACATAAAACATGCTTTTGCTTTCACAGGTTTTGGCAAGGTTTGAAGATTTTCCTACAAAGAAGCTGGAATCATTGCGGATAGCCGCTGCATTGCACTCAAAATTGGAAGGAATAGCTTTTACCCTGGAGCATTGGAAAACTGGGCCTCCAGTTGAGATGATGCTCGACAAGGTGGAACGCTATTTCAACAAGGTAAATCTCATGATCTTACGCCTAAATTAACCAATATCAAAGAATGAGATACTGAGAATTATGAACTCTTCAACCAGATTAAAGTAGATATAGAATTATTGGACCGGAGCAAAGATGAAGATTCTAAGCATCTTCGAAGTCATGATATTGATTTTGACTTCAACATATTGATAAGAATCAAGGAACTTATGGTGGATGTTTCCTCAGCCTGCATGGAGTTGGCACTCAAGGTAACTATTCAAGTATTTGCTACCTACCTCTTTTGCATTTTCTTCACCCTTTCTAGCACCCTACAATTACCATGAACTTCTCACCAGGAACGAAGAGAAGCAACTGAAGGAAAACGAAAAGCACTCACGAAACTGCTATGGAGGGCTTTTCAGCTAGCGTTTCGAGTCTATACCTTCGCTGGGGGACAAGATGAGCGAGCTGACAGTTTGACCAAGGAACTAGGTCGAGTACTACATAGTGATGCGTGATAGTAGTGAAGTCATAGAATCCTAAAACAAGTGCAGTAATCTCTGCATATCTCCTATAGGCAAACGACAGCCTAGAACCATTGTTGTAACATCTCCTGTAGTTTTTGAACTGAAGCGCTGGATTCAGGTGCAATGACATGATGTATCTGGAATCCAAAAAAATTGTACTAACTCATTGAGAATTAGTGTGCATACAAGAAAGTTTTGGTTACTAGCAAAAGCAAGCAAAGAGTATAAAGCGTTTTACTAGTGAGCAGTTATCATCTGCTTCTTTCCAACGTCTTAGTTAGTGCTTATCTATCAAACGTAGAAAATATTGTCTACACTTTTGGCTCTAAATATCCTCCTCAATGTTGGCATTCAAGAAATATAGCTCGGCATCATCACCAATGTCCCTCCTCCCTTGTTGTCAATGCAACATTTCAAGAAGATTCTTGTAGATACAAATTGATTAAGGTCTAACAAAGGTTAATGAGATTCAGGGCTCTGAAACAAAACTTCAAATGCCATCCAATTACTAATATACTAGAAATAGACCAGGTTCCAATTTCACGCTGAAGCAATTGAAAGTGAAAGTCCAGAACTTCCAATGGAGAATAGGACGTCCCTCAGGGATATAGTGCATGACAAAACCATGACAAGCAAATTAAGAAACAGATTGAGTATATTTATTCTTCTCTATAAGAGGTAAATCATTGCAAGTGCACAATTCAGACTTGCTAATTACACATCCTTATGATTTTACCAAAGAAGCCCAACTGGGGAGAAAAAAAAAAGATTCGATTTTTCTTTTCCCAACAAATCTCTGCTGCTTTTGACCTTTTCTTCTTTTCCTTCCTTATTGGGTTTGACCTAGAAAGGTAAGTAATGTATAAACTAGCTACTACTTGCACAATACATGAAACAAGTGACATATAGGTATATAAATTATCTAGAATTGATTATTATAGTTATCCTTTTTTATAGGTAAATAAAAAAGGCTATCTGTCACAATATAGAAAAAGTAATCGGTCGAATGTAACACTTGATACTAATAAATAAATACATGATAATGCATAAGTAAATTATAAGGCAAATTCTCAAGTGTCGATGAGAGCAGCACTCAGCATATTCCAACTAGTACTAAAAGCCAAGACATGAACATTAGAAGTGTAAAATTGGTGCCCATCTCTAATAATATTAGTTTCCTTATGTAATTACTTGCATAGTGAGTGATGATTGTTGTTGTTGTTGGTGGTGTGTGTGTGTGTATATATACATTTGGTATTAATATAGGGATGTAATTGAGTTGAGTTAAGCTCGAATATCGTCATACTTGATCTCGACTCAACCATCAAAAAGGATACTCTAACTCGAACAAGTGGCATTACTTACAGAACTCGAGTTCGATTCACGTGGGGGTTGAGTCAATGTGAGTCTTATCGAATTCGAGTTATGAAGATTTGGGAATTTCATTTTTTTTTGGACAATTTTTGAGCGAAAAGACATTATCGTCCTTCAAAAAATTTCACATGACCTGAAATATTTTGTAAATTCAACCACTCTTATGGGCACAAGAGTAATTTCATAATAATAATAATATATTAAAGAATTAAAATTAAAAAACTCGATCAGGCTTGAAACCTTGGAGTCTTGCTACTAAGTACTCGATCTCGACTTTCTAGGCCTATCGAGCTATTCAAACTCGAATCCGAATCGAGTTTTTGACCAATCTACTCGTGACTAGTTGGGTTCGATTACAGCCCTACATTAATAGAGCTATTTATGCAATGTTTTGCCTGGTATACAGATTATATTCTCCCATACTTATGTGCCAGTAGTAAAGTTCCCTGACATTCAGTACATGGGGCACAATTATGAAGAGTAGTTTGTGGTGCCTAGCTTTCAGCATCATGCGCTGCCAAGAAACCCCAATCCCCAGTACTGCACGTTTCCACGTTTCCAAGCCATGGAATCAGTTGGCCACCAACCCCCCCTCTACTGCCCATTAGTGATTCCGGCTAAGTGAATTTGATAACCTGTTTCATTGACTCTCTGTTCTCTAACAATCCAATTTGCAGCTACAACTTCAACATGTTGTTTGACTCAAAAAAAAAAAAAAAGAAAGAGGTACAACATATTTCGGACGAGAAATATGAAGAGGAATTGTCAGTGCGTGCATTTTAAGGTTGCTGCGCAAAAATGGTCTGCACAGAGGAACCCATGATAGCCTGATTATCATGCGGCCACAAGTTCTGACTAATTTTTCTTCTGATTTCATTTGGTAGTTTAGCTAATTATAACCTCCTTTAGATGTCTAATTGCTATAATCACACCCTTCTTCTTCTTTTTTTTTTTTCCTGATTTATGAAGTATGATCCATTTTTCTCGAATTAATCTTACCACAAATTTTTATTTTCAATGAGGGATGACTTTATGGAGTCAAATTTAGCGAGGGTAATTACTAATTATTGAAAGGGGATAGGAGACAACTAATTAACTATAACTCGACAAACCTCAAGACAAGTTCCAGAAATGCTTTGTCGCAGTTTATGTTCTTTGTTGCTTAAATAGGGTGGGTAAGAATATACAAGTTCTAGAATGGCGCGGCTAGTGTTGACGCTCCGGAACGTAGAGGTTCTGCGTTCTAATCTGTCCTCTCTCCACTTCTTAAATTCCACCCCTCTTTTGTTTAAAAAAAAAAAAAAGAAAGAAAAAATTTCTTGCAACTCCATGATTCTAATTTAGAAAACTACCAGAATCTAATTCCTTTGAGAGAAATATTTGTGGATGGACATATGTGAAAAAGAAAGTAAGATGTTGAAGTTAAGAGGCATGACTGATACTTAATGGTGATTGACAGGGATGGGCTTGCTCAAATTGTTAATTTGAAAGCAGCCTCAATTATATTGCTCCAGTGGGATAGGGCAAAGGGTACTTTTCCCTTTGCTTCAACAAATAATACTTGTTATTATTGGTCGGAATAAAGTTGTCGAGAAAAGTTGAACTATGTATATGACTTCCTTGAAGAGTAAGATATTCCACAAAACTAATTGAAACACTAGAGGTGAGAAATTCTGCAGCATTTATTCTCACAAAAGTAATTAGCACTACTCAACTTTTAAAGAAAAACAAAAAAAGTATACATTGTGGGCCTGTCTTCGCATTCAAGGGCTCAAAAAGCATAGAATTATCAACTGAAAAGTAGTACAATCATACTCAAAATCAAGTTTATAAGTTCATGAATTGCCCCCTTTCTTCTCAAGGGAAAAAACGAATTCAACAATAATATGGTAACATAAAACAAAAAGAAAAACAGAACAAGGAAAGTCCTAGCGTATCTCAAATTCTGATCACTGTTCCAAACACTTACACTGTAGTGGAGCAGTTTCCAAGGAGGAGTTGAGACGACTATCCTACCACCTTGAGTCTCAAAAGTCCTAGCTTATATCGAGTTTCAACCCCACTACTTCTTCTTTTCCACTTCCGAAATAACTGCCTCATGAAGATCGAATTCAACTGTCTTAAGGAGTAGCAGTAGTTCAGTTCATCCTAATCATGATCATATATTAGCTCCTGTCTAAACTCTTGTCCGTTCTTTATTCGGCTTTAGGCAGCTGGCAGATTAATAAGCCATCTTCTTCGTATCTTCCCTCAGCCCTTTTGTGCTTCAAATTCACCAACTGTGAATTAGTTGTAATCGGTCTCAGCTGCTGCTTCATCTTTTCTAACCGGCATCAACCAAAACAGGCTTATTTGGACGTCTAATCAAACATGTTTGATATTCTTTTCGGATGGAGAAAAGCCTCTAAGTGGTACTACTACACTAGTATTAATCAATAGTTTTTGCTAATTCAGGATGAGTTTCTTTTTTTTAGTGTAGTATTCGTTACTGGTGTTTGTTATGTATGATCATGACTAAGACGGAGTTCTTGATGGTTCTTTTGCAGCAAGAAATTGATCAGAAGGGTTCAGTGCCGTCTCAAAATTCTCAAGAACAAGCGATGTACTAGTGTGAGGCAGTCGAGGGAGGATTTGGCTAAGCTTCTCAAACCTGACCGTGCCCAAACTGCCTTTGATAATTATAGGGTATGATCACCCTTGCCTATCCACCAAAATCAATCTCTGAAAAAAAAATCATCGTTATGGCTTGTTGATCTTGATTTCTCTGCCTTATGTGATCGCCCCTGTTCTAGTGATCATGGTATGATTAATTATGTGAAGAGTTAATCTGATTGAGTTAAAACAGATGAACAATATTTTCCCTCCACGGTTAGCCTGCTCGGCTCTGTTGGGAGAGATTTATTGAACTTACTTGGTGGTCATAATGCTGTTATAGTTGCAAGCAAGGATCTTTTCTGCAGGATACATAAAGCAAATTAGTTCAGTTTTTGTTTCACCACATAATTATGAAGTCAAATTTGAACAAAATTTATATCAAGTAATAGAGAAAAGCATTGTATTCAACAGTTCAAGCCTAGGCTTCAACCTTGTGTCTCTGTTCGCTGAGTTTAAGGATCAGCTTCATGAGTTATTAGGTGCTTTTTCATTAAATTCCAGGCAAAGATGCATGAATAAACCTAAGAACGGATCTTCCCATTTTCATTTTCTTTATTAACAAATTTTCAGGTAGAGCAGCTGTTCAAAGATGAATGTTGGGTGGCAGTGTATGATCTGCTGGACCAATTCTGTGAATTTATTATCCTTAACTTATCTTACATCCGGAGAAACAGGTATGTTCATAAGCAATTACAAGATTTGTTCTGTAAATTCATGTCTTCTTGTATATTTTGGACCTGGCATTCAAGCTGAAGTAGGAGACAGCAAATGCGTGATGCTTACTTTCCATGGGTTCAGGGACTGTCCTAATGATATCAATGAAGCAGTGTCAAGTCTTATATTTGTATCAGCAAGATCTGGCGATCTACCAGAGCTTCTATCGATCAGGAAGCTTTTTGGAGAATGGTATGGTCAGAGATTGGCAACTTCTGCCCTTGAATTACTTCCTGGAAATCTTGTGAATCGTCAGGTTTGCCCTTGAATTACTTCAGATATAAATCCGTATGGTTCATTTATTTCTGCTACCATGTTGTTTATGGATTTAATGTGCGGGACATAACATTCATGTCTCTGAATGCAGATCGCAGAGAAATTAAGCATAAAATCAGTACCAGATGATGTGAAGATCAGCCTGGTGAAAGACATATTAGGAAGTTCCCTTCAGTCAGGTCCTTTGTTGCT